AATAATACATTTCTCATATTTACCTAATACTAACATTAACCTAGTTAAAATAAAATTAAAAAAACTACTTGCAAATCAATGAGATAAATTATTTAAACTTTTTTGTTTTTTTAAAATTAGGTACAAATACTAAGTAAATATAGTGCAAGATCATAATTAAGTGACGTTTATTATCATTATAATTTCTTTCTTTTGAGTTTCAATTCCCTGACCTAAACACGTCAAGATAAATTCACAAAAACTATCATCCATTACCTGACACTAGTCAAATAAATAAATGTAATCCTATACTAACCCTAAATTAGTCAAATGAATATGCATTAACAGAACTGTCTCTGAAATGGCCATGTCGTGTGTTGCACTTACGTTTTAGAAGCGCCTTGGCCCCATGCCATTCTGGCCACCTCCGTAACCACCCCCATACCCGCCGCCCATATTACCTCCTTTAAAAGAAACGTTTGCTTCAGTTAATAATGGACGAAGAACGTAAAAAAAAATAAAAAGGACAACAACAAAGAATTCAGGGAAAAGAGATATAAGAGGGACCCAGGTGCCAAGGAGTATCCAATTAAATAAAATCAAATAAATTTGATTCACTTACCAGCAGCATATGGAGTTTGTCTGTTAGCTTGGAAGTTATTTCTCATTGCGCTGCCTCCATAATTTTGTTGATAGTTGCCGCCAAAATTGTCATTGGGCGGTCCCCAATTATTTCCACCCCCACTCCCGCCGAAAGGGGGACCTCCAGAGGGATTACCACCCCAATTTCCGCCTCCTTGATTATCCCATGGTCCCACGTTACTGCTGGGACCTCCCCAGTTACCACCACCGCCACCACCTCCACTATTATAACCCTGGTTAGAAGGTGGAGTATTCCAATCACCCCCACGTGGTCCTCCCCAGTTACCTCCAGGTGGGCCACTATTATAACCTCCACGGTCTCCACCACCACGTGGGCCACCGCCACCACCACCACCGCCGCCGCCGCCGCGACTACCACCACCCATTTGACTTTGTGGGGCATTTGACTGTGCTCTTTCCATCTCAGCTTTACTAAGGGCTTTCTTCACATCTATGTGCTTTCCTTTAACTTGATGACTTCTTTGCACTGCAATAATAATAGTAAATTTTACTGAATTAAGATACTGAAAAATAATGGGTACTTTAAAAATTTAAATTAGATGTTAATTTTCAAAAGTTGCGACACTGCATTGATATTTTTCAACATCTTCAGGCAATTTTTGAGATAATGCCTTTGTGATTATGTAACCCATAAACTCACAAACAGGCAAATGACAATTAACATAAACAAGTCAATTAACCAAACTACAGTAAACATTATTTGCAATCTTTATGCAGTTATTTTTCACATTTTAAATAAGCAATAACATAACAATGCATTATCAACAAATTGACAGCTTCTTTTAGATACAGATCCTATCTAAAAGAAATTAGAATTATATTAAAACATTTAAAATAACTTACAACAAACTTTATCTACTGGATCGTAGTCGTCAAATTCAATAAAACCAAATCCTCTCTTTTTTCCAGTTTCTTTATCAGTGACAATTACACATGATAAAATATTTCCAAAGTCTCCAAAGTAGTTCCGTAAGTCATCTTCTTCAATATCCTCTTTTAAACCTCCAATAAAGAGTTTTTTAACAGTAGCTCCGGCTTCTGGCCGACCGATATCTTGTCTTGGAACTGCTCGTTTAGGTTCAACAACTCTTCCATCGACTTTATGGGGACGTGCGTTTTGAGCATCATCAACCATATAAGCTCTTGAGTACGTAATGAAACCAAATCCTCGAGACCGCTTAGTTTTTGGATCTTTCATAACAACCACGTCCACGATTTCTCCCCATTGCTCAAAATGTTTCTTAAGGGAGTCATCTGTGGTACGATAATCTAACCCTCCAATAAAAAGCTTTCGCAAGTGTTCAGGTTCACTTGTTCTTACCTGTTAAATTTATTTATTAATTCAAAATTGTGTTAAAAAAATGCAATCAACACCAAAATATACATTGCATCACCAGACCTAGCTAATATTTTAAAGAAATTCTATATAATTGATAATGTAAATGTACATCTAAATTTAACTTTTAATTTTTATATTTTGCTAATTTATGTCACTGGTTGCGAATAGTTGTTTAGCATGGTTAACATTTCTTTAAATTACTATATTTAAGTAACACAATATGTTATATATTTTTTTCATTGGATCACATCCCGTGCTCGTTAATAATTAACATGTTTAGTGTTTGAAAATACTAAAACTACTAATTAAAATTGAAATTGTTAATTTTTCTTTGTCAATATAATAACTTAATTTCGATCTTTGCCATATTGCAAGAGACGGTAAATTCTGTAAACCTTAAATGAGCTTTGGCATTTACAATTAGTTACATATTATAAGGATTTGTGAAATGCCTTTTTATTAAACAGCTACCTTTCAATTTTCTGGCCATTTTTTTATAACTCAATAATCACATTTTTAGATAGAAGTCGCCTCTCATGATAAGAACAGTTGAAAGATTTAAAAAAATTAAATAAATAAAAAATTAAATAGGTAGGTTG